CAGAGCTAGATAAGATTTTAACAACTCTGAGCTATTAGTTAAGTTCTCCCCAAGCGAGCTCGATGGGCCGAATGGCCTCCTCTCGTTTGTATTGTTCTTATGTTCTTATGTTCATATTTTATTCATTAAATAATTGTTTTGCTATTTTATCGCACCTGAATACCTCATTTTGTTCCATTGATGTACAACATGTTTAGGAATGACAATAAGACATCCTTAATCCTTTAAAAGGTTTTTAAGTTATTCGCTCACATACAAAAGTGTCTGTGGTGGCAGAGGTAGTGGAATAATTCTAAAACCACACGTATTCCTCAAAGACCAGCGAATACAAATATCAGTCATATAGCTACATTAACTTTACAGTAATAGGTTACATAAGATTATTTTACCACAGAACTTTTTCCACAAATTTCTGAGTGTTATAAGTGCTATCTAAGTGATATATGATGTTATGACTGAGAAATATCTACAACACTTTCGTTTTAATACTACAACATACAAATCTTAATCAATCAAAAGTTTAGCTTCCATATACAGTTAAATAGCTTCAGTATGATGACGACTAATACTGTAAATGGTGAATCAAGTTGGAAAAAAATATTGGGGATTTGACCACACGTTTTTTGGCTTAAGTGCAGTGCCCCATAGGAGCAATTCTGTATCAGTCTACAAGAACTGGAAATGCTCTGTCACTCTTGACAATAGTAATAAAATAAAAATTAAAAAAACCTGTATAATGTTACAGTTTTTCTGCAAGTTCGTTAAATCATTAAGAAAGAGAAAAAAGAAAACACTGGAACACAAGAATACATCATTTTGTGATTTTGAAAAAACTGGCTGTTCAGAACCCTATTTTAAAAATTCTCTCCAACATATCTTCTCAGAAAGGGCTTTATTAAAATGCAAGGCATGGATGTACATTCCTTGACACTTAATCAAATACAAAAAGCAGGAAAGCAAAATGCCTTACTGATGACAGCTGATGCTGGCTCTCCTTCCCTTCTTATTCTTCTGGATTTGTCCGCCGCTATTGACACCGTCGACCACAACATCCTATTGCACCGGTTACATACCAGCATCAGCCTCTCTGACTCCGCTTATAATTGGTTCTTCTCCTATCTCTCAGGGAGAACCGAGTATGTCGCCCTGGGAAAAGCTATATCTGACTCCCACACTGTTACTTTCGGTGTCCCCCAAGGCTCGATGCTAGGACCGACTCTCTTCACCTTATACCTGCTTCCCCTCGGTCACATTATCACCAGACTATTATGCTGATGACACGCAGCTTTATTTGAAGACATCCTTGCAACCTGCAGCTCTCACTGCATGCCTGGAGGAGATAAAGTCGTGGATGAAGCTTAACTTTCTTCAGTTTAACACCTCCAAGACAGAGGCCATTATAGTTGGCACTCCGCACCAGGTTCGCACCTCCACCGTCACTGGTATCACTTTCTCTAGTTCCTCATTGACCTTGGCAGATGCTGAAAGATTGGTCCACGCCTTTGTCTCTTCCAGGTTAGACTATTGCAATGCACTTTTCATCGGTACAACTAGTAAGAACATTCAAAAACTCTAGCACATCCAAAACAGTGCTGCCAGAATTTTGATTAGGGTCCAAAAATTCAACCACATCACTCCTATTCTCAAGACACTTCACTGGCTTCCCGTTTCACTCCGCATTGAATATAATATTAAGTCCCACTACTCACCCATAAATGTGTTCATGGAACTGCCCCCTCTTACCTCAAAGATCTCATCACTGTTCAGACCTCTTCTTCATGCTCCCTTCGTTCTTCCTCCTCCTACCTCCTTAAAACTCCTAGAACTACGCTCCGCACAATGGGGGATTGGGCCTTCTACTTTGGAATGCTCTCCCAGTCCATTTGAGGGCACTACAGACCGTTGACACTTTTAAACGTGGCCTAAAAACCCACCTTTTTAAAAAGGCTTTCCCTTGATGTTTTTTTTTTTACTCTTTAGCACTTTGAGATTTGTTTTAATGAAAAGTGCATTAGAATTAAAATTTATTATTATTATGAAAGCAAGTTTGTTCCGTCTAAGAAAGCACTGCAGCCTTCAAAATATTTTTTCAAAGATTTCGAAAATGTTACATTCCTTTTAAAAGCATGATTTTAAATTGAAAATGAATATAAATTCACAAAATAAATTTAGTCTGAGTAAGGTTACAGATTTATACAACAAATGAACAAGGCTGCAAGTAATTTTGTATATATTGTAAATTCAGTCACTTATCATCAAGCCTAGTATACTTCAATTACAGCAAGGAAAACAATACACATGACAAATAAAATGATCAAAAATAGGTAAGATAAAAATGTAAATCTAAAAACCAATATTGCCTCGTGCGAGACAGTAACCCAGCTTGTTCTGATTCCCGATGAAGGACATAAGGCCCACATAGGCCTCAATGAGAATGGGCTCATTCAAAACAAGGACCTCATTCGCCTTTCCTGGGATAGGCTTCTTCAAATGCGCCAGCTTGGCTGCCTGGATCACGTGCTCTTGAAAGTCCTTGAGCTGTGGACAAGATGGTGGAATGCAGGGAATTCTGTATTTAAATACAGTTTTTACTTATGAGTGAGCAAATCGGACCGAACCTGGAGAAATCAACCCTGATTGTCCTAAGGAACTGTGATAAAGCAGGGGTGGCCAATCTTATCTGCAAAAGGCCGGTATGTTATGCGGGTTTTGAACTGCAATTCCCTAAATAGATTACTAATTAGAGGACTGATTGGCTGAAGAGTCCTCACACCTGGGTTTGAACAGCTGACCTAAAGGTTATCCCAAAAACCTGCATACACACCGGCCCTTTGCGGATAAGATTGGCCACCCCATGATATAGAGTGAGCACATCATCTCTTCAGGAATGAAAGACTGTAAGGGGTCTAGAGCATCACTGGGTCCCTTGTGCCTGATTAATATGCTCCAGGGACTCATTTGCAGTCCTTTCAGCAATTGTAAGATATAGATCATGGTGGTTTATATCTGGACTAGACTTCAGACAAAGCTTCCATATATCCTATTACATAAAATTATCTAGGATAAAATTCACATGTAATTATTATGCAAAAAACTGTAAGTTTTTCTAAATCAAATATGGTTGGGAGATGATATGCCTACTTATCGTCCTACAAATTTAAAAAGAACATGAGAAACTTCAATAAACCGTTGATAAGAATCATTGCTTGATGGCAGGCATTAAGCCTATCACAGAAACTAATGCAATTCCAACCAATCATATGGTAGTCTTGTAAAAACAGTCTATAACCAACAAATGCACAGCAAGGAAGACTGAGTTAGAAGAGCACACCACATGCTACTGTTTTGGTAATACCATGGAAAAGCACTCCCTCTGAAGAAACTTCAAATCGTGAAAAACAATCCCTGCTTCCATGGGATTTGCAATCAAGGTATTTAATACTGCAAGATCCATGCTGGCCAGTCTGGCTAGTTCAAAGCTAGTAAGGTAGCTACTTTGACTCATGTGAAGTGTGGCTTCCACTGACTAAATAACGATGGCATTTTGTCGATATATAGAGTTGCAGCATGCTTCACATGCATACAGCATAGTAAGTAGTCTTATACCAGTGTTCTGTGTTGACATACTTTGACAGTACACTTGTGTAGCTTAAAGTGGCATGATTTTATTCCTCTATATCCCTCCCTTATTTTATATTTTATAAAACAGTTTTGTGCTATACACCACTGAAAATGAAAAATGTCTTCTGAGAGAACACTTTGGCAGTGAACAGAAGATAGCAACAGCCTATATGGACAAGGTGTTTGTATGGCCTGTCATTAAAACTGAGGATGTTTGAGTACTGCAAGAATTTCCACTGTTCCTAAGAGGATTCTGCAATGTTATGGCTGAGATACAGTGTATGGAGGAATTGAACATTCCGTCAAATATGAAGCATGTGGTAATGAGATGGCCATACAAGCTGCGGGAGAGATGGAGGTCAATGGCTTGTGAGCTACAAGAGTGATGAGGCTGCAGAGCTACCTTTCCAGATATGGTGAACTTTCTGGAGACTCAAGTAAAAATCTTGTCACATCCACTTTTTGGTGATATTGCAGGCACACAACTTAGCATTTTAAAGGCTACAAATGAAAGCAGACCACAGTCCAGGAGTAACATCAAAGGAAGCAGTTTTGCGACCAACATCTCTGCTATTGCCCTTATGTGGCTTCAAAGTCTACAGTGTACAAGATACTAAGGCAGTCTAGTGCTTTGAAGGAGTTAGACTCAGAATTCTGCCTTTATTGTAAAGTCTCATCTGGTGCTCAAGTGTCCAGGGCTGAGTAAAATTCCTCAAAGGGAGAAGATTGAATTTTTGAAAGGAAAGGGAGTTTGCTTTGGATGCTTGAAGGTGGGCCATATGAGCAAAGAATGTAAAAGGTCGTCTGACCTGTGATGAATGCAATTTGAAACATCCAACTATTTTGCATGTTCGCAGCAAATATAAGACCAAACCACAGGAAGTGGAAGTTAATGATGCATTGGTTTCTCTGCAGACTTGTGCTTGTACTAGGTCTGAAGATCAACATTGTACCTTTTCCATTATACCTGTACAGGTGAAATCTAAGAAAGGAGAGAAGGTGCTTAAGACATATGCCTTCTTGGACCCCAGAAGTACAGCAACCTTTTGTACTAACAGTTTCTTGAAGTTGAATTCGCAATATTTTATTACGCACCATGGGTCAAGAAAAGGTTGTTAAAAGCCAAGTCATTTCAGGATTGGAGATATCCAGATTCGGTGGCAGCCAGTTCTTGGAGCTCCCAGACATGTATATACAGGAAGCAATTCCTGTATCAAAGAGAAACATTCCTACCCAGCAAGACTTTGAACAATGTGAATATCTAAAAGACTTAAATATCCCAGATTTGGACACAGATGTTGAAATCTTGATTGGGACTAATGCATCAAATTTAATGGATCCCTGGGAGATTATCAACAGTGAAGGCGGGCGAACCCTATGCCGTGAGGACCCTATTGGGGTGGGTCATTAACGGTCCCTTAAGGGGCAATAGCGGGTGTTGCCAGAGAAGCTGATTAACCGTCTATGCCAATAGGATATCCATCGCCAGGTTGGAGGAGCTGTTGGTTTATCAGTATAATCAAGATTTTAATGAGAAGTTATTGGAGGAGAAGCCAGAGATGTCAAAGGATGACTATAGGTTCATGGAGATTTTTAAGAAGTCCACACACCTGCAAGGAAGTCATTATTGTATGGGTTTACCCTACAAAACTGATGCCATCACTATGCCAAATAACAGGTGCATAGTTGAACAGTGTATTAACTGTCAGAAAAGAAAGTTTGAAAGGAACAAGTCTTACCAGAAGGAGTATAAAGCATTTATCTCACAGATGATTGACAGTGGATATGCTGAAGTAGTGCCTAAAGACCAGTTGGACTGTGAAGAAGGCCATGTGTGGTATCTCCCTCATCACGGGGTGTACCACCCAAGAAAGAAATCTTTAAGGATGGTTTTTGACTGTGGAGCTGGATTTAAAGGAACATCCCTGAATTGTCAGTTGTTGCAAGGTCCTAACCTCACCAATTCACTTTTTGTATATATCTTAATAAGATTTACACAAGAAAACATTGCTTTGATGGCCAATGTCCAGGCTATGTTTCATCAAGGGAAGGCGTCAGAAAGACATGTGGATTTCCTTCGATTTTTGTGGTGGCCTGAAGGAGATACGACACAAAGCCTGGTGGAACATAGAATGAAGGTACACATCTTTAGAGCTGTTTCGTCTTCAAGTTTTGCAAGTTATGCTTTAAGAAGGACTGCCCAGATAACAAGAATGATTTTCAAGCTGAAGTGATTGAAACTGTATATAACAGGGTTCTTGCAGGTTTCAAAAAGTTAAGTTACCTTTTTAAGACATTTTAAGACCATTATGAGTAAAATTTAAGACCAACACGATGCATTACAAGAAACATTCGAATGATACCAGAATTTCTCATATTTTATGTCACTCATATCCTTAGCCCAACATCCACATATCATATGTGTTTACAAAGTGCGTTTTAATAAGTTCACATGTGTTTAAAGCATGTGGGAGTGGTATTTTAAGGCTTAAACTATAAAAAGTTTATGTATATGGTCTTTCTATATCGCAGATTTTCACCTATTGCTGATGGGTCTGGAACGTAACTTCCGCGATAGGCGGGGGATCCAGACCCATCAGCCATAGGTGAAAATCTGCGATATAGAAAGACCATATACATGCACTTTTTTTATAGTTTAAGCCTTAAAATATATAGTGATCTCCCGCCTATCGCAGAAGTTATGTTCCAGACCCATCAACGATAATGAAAACAACTGGAAAAACACGGGGAATCCACACGGGGTTAACGAGGGGGCGTGGCACACGGGAGGAGCGGATGAGCGGGGCAGGACATACTGCACTTTTAATCAGATTTTTTAGATTTTCTAAGCAATTTTTTTTCAAATAAGTTTTTTTTCATCTCTATTTTGCTTTTTTGACTTGGTTTAACTTTTTAAAATCTTGTTTTTATAAAGCATATTAAATAACCCCTGTGTATGATAAAAAAAAACTTGCCTTACCATAAGGAGACCGAGAAACGTTCTCCTCAAGACCACACCAACAACTAAAAACTATATGCTGGAAACTAAGACATTCACAAGGTAACTCCATGAAAAGCTCTGTAAAAGTAGAAATGTGTTAATTTTATGATAAGATAACGTGAGCCAACTGGCTAGTAGTTGCCTTTTAACTGAAAAAATTCACTCCAGTCATCAGAGAAAAAAGTTACTACATCAAAACATTTACATTGCAATAATGTATGGTATGAAACAAACTTGTAACTATGTCATTCAGTAATACAAATATTAAAACAACATACCGTTCACATTGGCCTCAAGAACTAAGTTAGCACTTGATTCTCCTGCACTTCCTGTTGTAGCTGAGCGTGCACCTGACATCAGTGGCTGAAAGTGCACGTTCTGCAGCCAGACCCTTCTCAAACTGTTGTTTGTTTGCCTAGCTGCAGTGATCACGCAATGGGATTTGTAGTTTTATTACCACGCAGACACCGGTGCAGACCAGAAAACACAACCAACGGATTAGTTTTACAGCGATTTACTATTTTATTTTCTGCGGACAACGCTTTTTCGGAATGAATGGAGGTAAGAATTTTAAGACTTGGGTAAATTAAATTTAAGACTTAGGATGAAAATCTGGGCATTTTTAAGATATTTTAAGGCCTTAAATTTTACTTTCTGAATTTTAGACTTTTTATGACCCCGCGAGATCCCTGCTATAACAACTTTTATGTGGATGATTGCCTAAAGTCTGTGTCTTCAGAGGATGAGACTACAAAGTTGGTTACAGAGCATACTGAGGTATACACAAAGGGAGGATTTCAGCTGCTCAAATGGAAAAGCAACTGTTGAGCTGTATTGTCATCCGTCCCTAAAGCAAAGCAATCTAAAACAACTGCGCAACTGCATTTGGAACAAGACAACCTACCCATGGAGATGG